TCCTTTGACTGTCTAATATATTCATTTTGAGGGCATTTACAGAATAAACAGTGAAAAATTCAAAACTAAGAAATGAAAATTTTGCCTGCGTCTCCCTTTAAGGTATATAAACTTCCTATCCACTTTGTTTGATATATGTGGTGTCCTTTAGCAATGTTGTATATAATTCTGTTCGCCCTTTATTATTACGACGGGGTAATGGATAACTATAGAAATGTCATACTTACATGCTCGTCTATTGGTTCCTTTTATTTGAAGTTTCATATTGTGATGACAGGGAACGTGTCTTACGTAATAGAAAGAGCATCGAAACACGAGGTTATCTGATATATACGAGCGAGTATTAATCAGATTGCCTAGTGTTTTGATGTCTTTCACTTTTGTATCTTAGGCAAACATATGAACACTTTCCCTGTTGTCACAGTATGAAACCTCAGAAAAAGTAACAAATAAACGAGCATCTTAATATGATATTTCTATCGCTATACCTTTCTCTGTCGTCACAATAATAAAATGAGCCAAACAATGGGCATGCTCCGGAGAACGGGTACTCCAATTAACGCACTGTGCATGTATATGCATACGATTTAACTCTGAAACATTTTCAGCAGAAAGATCCCCAAACTTTGATATTTTTGTCTATGATACAAAAGAGAAAGAACATGAAAACACTCAGCCATGCAACCTCGTACATATCAGATAGGTTCATGTATCTATTACATAACAAGTGGATGTGAATTATTATAAACTATACTAGTTTCTTTAATTTTCAATAAGTTAACTTAAACACTAACTACTGTCCGGTTTCTTATCTTGCTATATATTTTTACTTTTATAATCATGTGACGGAATCTTTCATAAAGATACTTATGTATCAAAATCGCATTTCAATTGCACTTTGATAGTCTTGAGTGTCCTGTAATAAGCGAAAGCCTTTAGTAGAGGCAAAAGAATAGCACAGGTCTGGATATAGAAGCATAATATGATTTGTAGGCAAGCAGACCAGTAACCAAACGTCTTGTACCCAGACCGATACCACAATTATCGTACAGTTCTCTAATCAATACAGTGATTATACATGTATATCATCGAAGTATATAAATTGCAAACGCGGAAGAGATCTGTTTGTTAAATTGTACACTTCCACTTTTGTATGTAAAATACAACCCTTCTTTTATTTTAGGAAGTCAGTTTTAACTTGATTGGTTATATTTTGAGTTTGAACGAAAGGTAAGTTCATGTTTTGATCATTTGTCACACCGCCACTGAAAAATAGTGCCATTGTTTTGTAGCTTAAATATACTCATAGAAGGGAGATACCCGACTGCTATCAGGCCTTAAATAACAAACACCCGACTGTTGGCCACACGGTTAACGTTCCCTCGCATAAAGGAATTTCGGTACATAGTTCATTCGGTCATTTTAGAGTGTTTGGTGATATTGTAGCTATAGTGTTAACTGTTTCTATTTTTCGAGATAGTAAAACGCTATTTAGATATCATTTATCTATTTATACAGTTTAAAGGATTAAAAACGGAATGAACTGCTGTTCGTAGTGTTACGATGTAGATGTAACTTAAAATTTAATCATATTTTCCGCTTTTTCCTTTAACCGATTTGTTCACATATTAAAGTTTCGTTTAAGTAAAGTCGATTTTTTGGAAGCGGAACATGCGCACAACATTTTTTGTAGACTAATTCTCATGCTTTTAGGCTTTAAATGAGATTCGTTAAACGCAAAAAAAGGATGCCATCAGAAATCATTCTCAACACAGTGGAAATCTGGTGACCTATGTTAAGAAGTTATACAACGTGATTTCATGCAGATATGCATTGTGATCAAAACAGGGGGTGTAATCTTTTATTATGCGTAACGAATGTATCTATTTTACGTAGAAAATAAAGCCGATTTCATTAAAATTATGATTGAATGTCCATTGTTATTTCAATTCTGAAATATCGTCAACACGTATATGTACAGTTTCAAACTTTTTACTTGAAGTTTTTATCGTTTCATACTCCTGTGTATGGGAAGGGTCAAAAAGCTGTGATTTTATCCGGCGTTCAGCAGTCGGTGATCACATAATTAAAAGTAATGTCTATATTTTACATTATTTTTTTCTTATGCATCGATTCAACATACACAGCTGCTACTGCGCAAAAAAGAATATCCCATCGGATAAAGACATTTGGTTAAATGACGGCAACGAGAAAAAAGTACCACCTTTTATCTCATAAACAGCGGCGCAGGAGTGTAATAAGTAGAGGATATTAAATGAATGTAAGTTCAATACTGAATTTATTGCACGAGTTGAATAAAATTATATTATGCGAGCCTCTGGCGAGCATACTATTATTTGATTCATCGAGTGCAATAAATTCAGTAATGAACTTACACGAATTTAATATTCTATTTATCACATGCCCAAAATAAAGACCGTTTAAAGTGAAATAAGAGTCATTTTTCATTGACGCGCTAACACTTAGCGCGTCTTTACACTATGTTTGTATAACGCTAATGACGTCACGTCAAAATATATGCACGGCCCTGCAATACCATATTTACGGAGTCACAAAATCGGCACGGGTGTGTGATAAAGCCATCTAATAATCAAAGAGCTGCAAGCTCTGTGGTATTTTCTGATCTTTGTAATCTAAATTGTACTGTATATATGCATGTATTTTCCTGTATAGGTTTATTTTTTATATAGTAAAATTAAAGAGTTTTTGAGAAATAAAATTTAATAAAAGAATTTCTGAGGCATCATAGGCCTTTAAGTTAAAATCGATATACTGGTAATTATGAATTGGATGTAGTTAATTTCTAATTCATCAATCCACAAATTACTTCAAAACCCAAATTTGTTTTCCTATATTTTTGATACGATCCCATGGCACGATCCCATGTGTCCCGGATCCCGGAACCTGATATTGTCTTCTACCATCAAGTGGTACTGGAAATAACGCCGGTGGTATATTCTTCTTACTTATTATTATTATTTTTTTTATTGTGAAAGGTAGATATTGCCAAAAGGACGAAAATGCTGTTATAAAAACCTGAAGGATATAATTATGTCTTGATGAAACAATGGATCCAAATATAATTATAAAAATGTATTTGCTGATTTTTTGCTTGACAGTTACTTTTTGTGATTGCAATACATTTTCCTGTATGTAAACTAAATATGGTTGAAACGTTAAATTAAGTTTTTTTAACCTGCTAGACGATAATTATATAAATTCTACACATTATATCATAATGAGTATCGTTTATTTATTTCGATTTCTGTAGACAGTATAAATCTACCGAGATAGTAGAGAAAACACTAAAGAAAGCTGTATGTATATTTGTCAACAGTAAGTGTTTACAATGTACTAACTAACGCTGTAAGATACTCTTGTTTGCTATATGAGCATAAAGTACACAAAGTTATCAGCAAACTTCAATGTGCATGTTATCAAAGACCGCATCATACCATACATATGAATCGGCTCAAATAAAAACAAACACCGTTGTGCAATTTTAGTACATGCGTTATTTATTTCATTGAATGAGAAAAAAAGTCTCTTTACAACCTTGCGATAAAGAATAAAGTAAACACAACCGAACTATTTAACCTATACAACCGAGTGCAGGTCATTTAAGGGTACAGTTAATAAAATAAAAAAAGAACTCTATCAACGAATTTTGGCGTTCAGAAAACTGAACTATATAAATTCGACTTAATGATTCACTAATACAATAATGAAATATTGTACTGATTTTGAATCAGTGATTTTGAAATATCAAGGAAGTCAAAAAGCATGAAAAATTAATATGAAATTATATTGTCATTTAAAATGATGTTCCGTTTTTTGTTGTTGTTGATTTTTATGTTGTTGTTGTTGATTTTTTTGTATCTCTGGGGAAAAGTGTAAAAGTACATAATTATTTAACATCTGGTCGAGAAATATGCTTTGTATTGATTTAAGAGAGCAAAACTATATATGAGCCGTGTCACGACAAAACCAACATAATGGGTTTGCGACCAGCATGGATCCAGACCAGATCCGCGCAGTCTGATCAGGATCCATGCTGTTCGCTATCAGTTTCTCTACTTGTAATAGAGTTGGTAAGCGAACAGCATGGATCCTGATCAGACTGCGCGGATCTGGTCTGGATCCATGCTGGTCGCAAACCCATTATGTTGGTTTTGTCGTGACACGGCTCATATGTATTCTATGGTCTAAGTGTTTAGCTTTGAATATTTTTAGATGTTTAGTGGCTTGATACAAACAGGTATAAATCAGCAAAGTTGACAACGCGTTGCGAAGGTTGTATCGAATATAAAAAAAAAAGTTCATATAACGTTTTAAAAGTTAAAAGAGAGCACAGGACGGCTTAAGAATAATCGCCGAGAAATTTCGATTGAATGTGCATGAAATACCAAATTACACCTTAAAAACGAAAAATGTAAGTTGAAAAACGAACCATTTTTTTTTAAAATTCCCGTTCATAGGCTTTGCCTACTTTCATATTATAATTATGGCCTATGCTTGATTGATTTTAATCAGATTCCTTTTCTCTATCGGGTTATGATATTGCAAGTTACCAGGTAAAAGAAATCAATATCGTTATTTCAGGGTGCAAAATCAGATGATCAATTGTCCTTTAAGAGTAGCAGCTTCTGAATAATTCAATATATTAAACTTTAATAGAGAAACCACAATATGATATCGATAATAAACGTCAATAATGCTTATGGTTTTCATGAAAAAAGCGCAAACAGAAATATGTCCAATATAGAATAATGTTATTGGATACCACATTGTCCAATAGGGATATATTTATCGGAAATTCACGTGTAACGGGTGGATGTTAATTCATAATTGTTATTAAATAAATACAAGTTTCTTTATTTTTTAATGTGTAAACTTAAACATTAACTACCTTCTGGTTTCTTATTACGAGTATATTTTTATATGCATAGGTCGTGATCTTTTATAAAGATTTTTAAGTATCGCATTTTAAACTCGCATTTACTTTTATAGTTTTGAGTGTCCTGTAGTAATACCTTTGATAGAGAATGAAGAATTAACATAGGTTAAAAAATTTTAATAGTGAGATATGTAGACATCAACGCTTGTCTTGTATCATCTTTACCCCGTTGTTAAAAACGAGTCCGATACCACAACGTTCGCATAGTTCTCTATTCAATACAGTGATAATATCATGGTTTAAGTATTTAAATAATGAATTGAAGTATATCATTCGTAAACGCGGTAGTGAAACATATCGAATATCTATCTGTTCGCTTGAGTGTACACTTCCACTTATGTATGTAAAATACAACAACCATTAATCTATTTGAGGAAGTCGGTTTTAGCTTGATTGGTTATATTTAACAAAAGGTAAGTTCACGTTTCGATCATTTGTAAGGTTTTGAAACTCGCTGTCACTGAAATTTAGTATCTGTATTGTAACTTGATAAACCCATAGAAGGGAAATACCCGACTGCTAACTTGCATATTGTTTCTTTCAGGCACCATTTAATATCTTAATTAAATAACAAACACTCGTCCGCTGGCATCGCAGAAAGGTATTTATACCACATTCTCGTTTCGCCCCCGTCACTGGCTTAGCTACTCAATCCTGAGCCATATTCATCACTAAATCATATATAACTTTGCAGCTTTTTAGAACAGTATATAATATATATTGTTATTGTTATCCAGCTATAAAATTATAATCGATTTTTGTGTTTCAGTTTGTAAATGCATGTACATGCATTGATTCAAAACTAGCTGGTATCTGTATTATAACATGAATGTGAATATTGTTTAATCAATATATTTTCGCCACGATATGTTGTATTTATGATCAATTTTATCAGCGTTATAAATAAGCATGACCAGGTTCTCCCCCATTTTATTTTTATTACTTTTTCTTAAATGTACAAAACCGAAATATCCCAAACGTAGCAACGACTAAGTTTTTACAAAATGTTAGTTGAAACGGATGCGTTATAATTTATTTTACATAGATCGCTGCAAGACAGTTTCATTTTTGTTTTGATACTACTTAAACGTAAGAGACATGCTTGAGAACTATGCACTAGATGATTGCTTTTATGTCCAAAGGTTACTTTTGTTTGTTTAATGAGTCCAAGGTTTACTTGTTTACTTCTTTTTTCAAGCTGTAAACTATACAGTTTTGTTTGAAGTATACGAGTTAAATATAAAAAATACACGATATTCGGGTACAGCATCAAGGTTATAATAATGTTTTCTAATTTTATCGTTAACTTTGCCAATATATTGCTGTAACATATAAAGCTGTTACTTTGTAAAAAAATATCCCACTGTAATTACATTTGATTAAATGACAGATTGTGAAGATAACTCTCTGCTACGAAATAATAATAATATTTTTTAAGTTATAAGCCATTCTTTCCAAATTAAAACACAGGCGTATGGCACTTGTGTCTTGTCAGTAAAAGTCAAATTACCATAAAATAATCTCCCCTTAATCGTCAAGAAAAACAATACTATCCAGCGCCATTTATTTTAAAGATACATTAAACAGATATAAAATTTTTACGGTAACAAGAAAAACACGACCTGGGTAGGTTCAATGTGCATGCAAATCCATTATTACTGAGACACTTATCTATTCAAGAAAACATATTCAAAAATCGTAAATTAAACGTATAATATTTGCAGTAGCCGATATAAATAGAGAACTTCAGATAATTGATTCAAAATTCGAAAAGTGTTCTAAGATTTTTAGAAAAGTAAAAATATTAAAAAAAATAAATGATTTATATGTTTTGTGCGATAGGTGACTGATTTTCAGTATTTATCACCTCATTTCTACTGCGTGACTAACGCATTAAGGGGTATTTATGCATATTTTGACCTATGTTTGGTAAATTATGTAGATCTTGCCGTTAGCTATGTATAAATTACTTTCTTTGTCGACCTGGCAATATTTTACTTTCAAATACATTTAGAAAAAAATATTGAAATTTAGCATGGATATGGAGGCATGCTGCTTTAAATCTGTAATGATATTTCTAGCTGAAGTTCAAATTGATATTATATATTTGTCATTAATCAATCCACAAATTACGACAAATACCGAATTTGATTCCATGTATACGATCCCATGATTTCTTCTGGCCCGGATCACGGAACATTGTCGATAGTGTCTTCTACCATCTCGTGGTACTAGAGTATATGTAAAGAAGGTAAATCCCGTCCATCAAATGTGCGTAACAATGTTTCTAATACATTAAAAGGTAAACTAAATAAGCCTAATTATAACATTCGAATTCACTGATATTTATACTCAAAGTATTTAAGATAAAGCCAAAGTTAGGAACGAGTTTACGTTTTGAACTTCACGATTTTAACTTCACGAATTCAAAGTTTTAACCTCATATGTTCAATTTCATGAATTAATGTTTTGAAAATTCACGGTTGCAAGGTCACGAAGTTAAATCGTGTATTCAATTCGTGAAGTTAAAATCGTGAATCTGGGAAGTTGAAATCGTGAAGTCGAAATCGAGAATTCGTGAAGCTGAATTGTGAATTCGTGAAGGTGAACCCAATAATTCAAAAAGTTGAAATAACACCACTGGTCTTTCGTAAAAAAAAACAATGACGATACTTACTGATTTTAAAGATTTAGGACACGTAAAAGTGCAAATTACGCCGAATGTATACGGCCGATTACCAATACTCCTTCGTTGCCATTGCGGACTTTTGCGGTTCATGATGAATGTCTTACCTTACGCAACATTTTTTTTCTTGTTTCTTGCTTTTAAGATACAACTTTTATTTGAGTATTGCAGCCTAAAGGAGAGTCGCTATTAATTTATAATCTGGATCGAAAACTTTTTTTCCCAATAAGCAATGTGTTTAAATAGTAATTTGAATAATTCATTGGGAAGTTTAGATACACGCTTCGGAGATAAAAGTTTCAAGAAAACGTCCGTTACATAATTCAAATACAATCTGTTGATTTAATTTCGTTTAATTCAAAGCTAATTCAAACTTTTCTGCGAATCGTTATGCAAAAGTACAATCTCGAACATCTATTTTCTTCGTTAAAATACGAATAGATTTCATATTTCATGTCTTCAAGTTGTATATCTGGCAGATATAACCATTTTATATAGCATATGCATCTTTGTTAGAAACAGATTAAATGAAACAATGACATAATCAAGTTCGTGACGTCAGGCGGAAATTCACGGAAAGTAACGAAATTGGCCTAGTCGTCATGAATCTACGGCAATTTACAAGCAACATACTGCATCTGCGCAAAGTATACTTAACGGGTATGTCTATATTGTTTATATCAAACAATTAACTCAAATCAACTTAGACAAAGAAGATGGTAAATTTTTTAATTGGTTTTATGGAACGATGCTTAGAGATATTAGAAATATTTACTGATGGTGACATATTTTAACGAACACAATCTCGCCCCTTGTTCCCCTCTTCACGATATAATTATTTAATATACCGTTTGTTTAAACTCGTCTTTTTCCGAGGCTAATATATCTAAAGAGTTGAATTGTAAAATTCAACCATTACTCCTGGTGTTAAAACGATTTATTAAAGTGACATTATGCCCATACAAAGGTATATAGTGAGTGAACGGGTGAAGATCAAAACATGTTTGCATTTTGCCATAATCCCTTTTAATTTAATAATAAAGCTGGCATAAACAATAAATAACAAACAGATCTGAATGAAATTTCTGTAAATGTCTGTTAGAATTTACGTAAAACGCTTAGTTTATAAAAAGAGTGGGGCAGTCTTTTTAAATTTTTGGCAGATTTATAATTTTATCCTAAACATTTTCAAATATCAACAGTTGGTCAGACACCATTTTGACAGTCAATCTTTTGAAATATAAAGTCAATTCAGCTCAACTTGACTATGAAAAAATGAGCATAATGTCACTTTAAATATATATAAAGGGCCGGAATATTCCGAACTTTGACGAACATTTGATAAATGTATCTGAACATTGTAAATTTACAATATTCATTATATTACCATTTCTATCCTATTTCCATATATATTATTCAAAAAGTTTTATGCGTAACATATTGTTTCATTTGCCATAAATTCTAGAATATGCAATCATCAATTAACATTTTACGTTTCTACTTCAGTTGATTAATTATTTTCTTTACAAGCTTTTGGCAGTGCATGCATTTCAGCAAATTCTAAAGATACGATATCGAGGGCTTGAAGTATTGAACTGTTATTTGTAAAATCAAGATAAAATCACAGATATGGTAGTGTAAAGCAACGAGTCATTCGTCTTTTGTTTTCTTTCTATTATAACTAATTATCATCTGGTGAAGTGCAACCTAAGTTAGAACTGCGTAGATCATGTACATGTAAAGTCAAAATGAGAAAATCTATTACATGTCATAAAATGTATTGTTGACGAACTTATGACGTTAATGTGATGGGAAAATAGACAATCATTTTGAATTTTAAGAAGAAAATACGTAAAAGTGCGAACAGTACCGATATTTTCGAGCTTATTCAAAATATCACCGTCATACAAGTATCCATTTTATGAAATTATTATCAGATGTCACGAACAGTAAAGTACTCGATAGAAGTCACTTATCCGTAATTGCGAACTGGAAGAGCAGACCCGAAGAGTCTGCTCGCAAAGGGAACATTATGGTTACGCGAGTAACGTCAAGTAAAGTAATTGCATTTTATAGTCTAAGTTTCATGCTTACGCACGTTCACCGACTTTACAGCTATTACCCCTGGTCATCGGGCTACTGGTATCCATCTATCAATCTCCCTGGGGAGTCTTTTTACTCCGCTTAGTGCAGCCGACACTTTGGCGCAACGGAATTATACCACCCTCGCAGGTACCCATTTACACCTGGGTGGAGTGAAGCAATCGCAGGTAAATTTCTTGCTCAAGGAAATTAGCAGTGCCCCTGGTGGGGTTCGAACCCGGGACCTCTCGATCCCTCAGCGCGCGTCCTACCACTGGACTACTGCTCATACTGACGGGTTTGAAATGGTTTGCCGGAAGTACAGAAAAATTATGGGTAATAAGTTTGCCTGCTCTTTATCGGTAGTTATTTACCTTACTCATATTACTATGGTTTTTTTTCCCCTTAAAATAAATGCCTTCTCTTTGAAGATTTCAGGTAACGACGCCTAATTTGCGGTCATGCGCATTATTACATGTGGAATAACTGTGTTAACGATTGTATTTTATATCGTTGTCGTCTTCGATTCCGCCAGTTGTAAAACAGCCACAGAGATTGAGAATGAATCTGAAGTTGAAAGTGGTACTTGTGATGGAGACACATGCCAAATTGACAAGGACATCAATGATGAGAAAGTGAAATATTATTTAGACAAAGCGCAAAAGTATCACGCCGAGCATTCTGATCCCGGTGATGAAATGACTGACGAAGACTTAAAGAATATACTAATTGGCTTTAGGGATAAATCTATAGATATTAAGAAAATACCCGATGATACGATTAACAGATCTGAAGAAGAAGGGCTTGCGGAGAAAGAAACTCCTGAAGAACAAGAAGGAAATGTAGAAGAGCAAGAAGAAGATGTGGAATCATTTGAATTTCCCAGACTGACAATGATAGATCCAGGAAATGTTGGTGACGTTAAGGAAGTGGAATTAGAAGAAGGAATAAAATATAGAATGATAACAAGATCTGTTCGTCCACCAGTATTTGGTAAGTCGATCATCTAATTTACAAAATACTTGTGCATAAGAACTTCCTTTATTTAATGTATAAAAAACCAGCTATTTATGACTCATCAGTGTCCCCACGAGCTATGAACTGTTTTCCAATCATTCACATCATAGCCCATATGATACCGCCATTTTGAAATCCCCAGAACTATGACTTATGGGGTATGACCGCGTCACTTCGTCACTATTTGGTTTAAACATATTTCATTTAGAATATTGGTACACGTGTAAGAAACATAACAATAATTATAGATTTTGACCGAAAGCAGAAGCTTATAGAAGCCACTATTTAGGAGATCTGCCTTGTATATAAGTTATTTCTAAATGTTATGATATTTGTGGAAAACAAATGATAATGTTTTGAATACAGATTTGATCTCAATTTGCATTCCTATTTGCAGCATTGTTTTCTTTCATTAACTCCCTTTAGAAATTCCGAATTTTCTCACCAAGGAAGAGTGTAACATGATAATCGGTAGCGCGGTAGAATCTGGTCTTAACGTTAGTAAAGTGTTTGGTTCTGATATTGAAGAAGAGTTTGATGAAGAAGAAGATTTATCGGAGATTTCAAGGGTCAGTGAACAAACGTGGCTCCGAGAGTATAACCTAGGATCCGAGTTTTGGGAAAAGCTTTTTGCCAGGTAAAACTGCAATACTTGCAACAACTGTTATGTTAGCATCCCTTTCGCAAAGAATATTATACTTAGTATCTATGTTTATTTTTATGCTTTAACCTTTGTTTTAAATAATGTAAATATTATAAAAATGCTCTGTATACCATAAAGACGGACATAATATGATAATCTTTACAGAAAGAAAAAGAACCCATGTTTCAATTTTCCGATTTAATTCGTAATTATATTAAAACACGGTTTTTCATTTTTCCCTCTTGTTTCCAGAGTTGCTAAACTTACGGGGCTCCCCATTGGCATGGTTTTAAGAGGAGAACCAATACAGGTATTAAAATTCAAATGGATTAATAACATAAAATTGTTTATTAATTTACTTTACTTTGCACTACAATTAGATTTGTCCACACAATGGTATAGGAAAGACAAGTTGGTTCTTTCATAATCTTTCATAAATGTTTGCTTTTTCTGCTTCCATTTCTTTGATATCCGTAGCAGTGTGTATTAATTTAACTGGAATATAACCTATAGTAATACGCTTTTTTATATGCTCTATACATATAATGGCTAGTTCTAAGCATTCATTTGTATTATTTTGACTTACAGTTGTTAGTGCTTTTTTCACCAATGCTTAAATATATTTTCTCACAGTTAACTGTTTACCTTTTCCATTAATTTCGTTTAAATAGCAGCGGGGACATAATTCAGTTAACCGTCATCCAAATCATCATTGTAGAATACAATCGGCCGTGCCGAAGACAAAACCCACTTTTTCGGCATACGTTCACTTTATGCAATATTGCAAACTTATCAGATATACTAAATCATAACTGAGTGTCATGGAAGAAGATATATATTTTTTCAGGTTGTCAGTTACGCCCCTGGTGGTCATTACCACGCCCATTTAGATACCGTAGACGAAGTGGACCACCTACCATGCTGCTTTCAAACAAAATGTGGTGACAAGGAGCATACACCAGAGTGGGCGGAGTGCTGTAGACTATGCAGGTAGGTTATTTTAGAAAGAACATTTTTAACAAACATGTTGTACATGTAGTTTATCCGTGAAATAAGAGCAAGGACTCTTTTAAAGCAATGTTTCTCAGTTGAGCGATCCAGGGTCAACATTTGAGTGGCGGCATGGCCGAGTGGTTAACGCGTCGGACTAGTAATCTAATGATCGCTAGCCGTATGGGTTCAAACCCCGTCAGGGTAAAGTCGTTGTTTCCTTGAGCAAGAAACTTACACTCATTGCTCAGTACTGGTTGGTTCCAGGAAAGGATTTCAAAGTGTGTCTGTAAGCTTATAGCTTCCTTCACAATCGAAGTAAAATAAATTCTGTATAAACCAACATGACCCTCATGAAATATTTTTAGATGGGTAATAAGTACAGTACGGTTATCTTCGCCAATGTCTGAATCTAAAAGGTATTTTATAGCAACAAGTTGACAAAAAATTGTGTGTTTGTCATGTTTGATTGCCTGTCGATGCAATATGCGTCATACATGTAAAAGAGTAGTCCTCTTGAAATTTTATACAATGGTGTGGGCTCGTATCCCGACATTGACTTTTGATTTCTTCACATGAGGAAGCTGTCCAGCTAGCTTACGGAACGTCGGTTGTTCTACACATGTGCTCGTTCCTGCCAGAAATAATGCACGGAAGGGTACCTGGTGTTTTCCTCCAACAATTAAGCTGGAACGCCGCCATATGACTGTGTGACGTAAAACCCAATCAAACAAGCATACTGTACGCGATTTTTCCGTCCTCATACTGTTTGACAGGATCATAATCGCACAAAAACAAACAACACGACATGGCCAAGTGGTTAACGCGTCAGACTAGTAATCTAATGATCGCTAGCCGCATGTGTTCAAACCCCGTCAGGGGCAAGTCGTTGCTTCCTTGAGCAAGAAACTTTACACTCATTGCTCAGTCCTGGTTGAACTCGAAAGTATTTCAATAAGATTATAGCTTCTTACACAATCAAACTAAATAAACCGAACAAAACGCAAAAATATGGTGAAAAGCAAGCATCTTATTGTAAGCGGAATCCACTTAATAATTTACAAAAACAGAAAAGGAATTAACAGGTGTTTTAGAAAAAGTGGGAAAATTTTATTTATCTTTTATACATGTTTATCTTGTGTAAATTTTACAGGTTCATCACAGTGTTATATTATCTCAACGAACCGGAAGAAGGAGGAGAGACGGCTTTCCCACTTGCTGATATGCCAGAGGAATTGGTAGAGGTAATTCGTATACTTCACTACTTCAAGAATTATGAGCTGATAGATAATCAGATGTCAGAAATCGGCCGTGACTATGAAACATTTTTGTTTTAGCAAAGACAGCATTGTCTATAAAAGACATATACATGTCATCAAATAAAGTAATATAGTACACACCCGTGCCGATTTTGCGACTCCGTAAATATGGTATTGCACGGCCGTGCATATATTTTGACGTGACGTCATTAGCGTTATACAAACATAGTGTAAAAACGCGATAAATGTTATTGCACTCGTTGAATAAAATAATATTATGCTCGCCAGAGGCTCGCATAATATAATTTTATTCAACTCGTGCAATAAATTCAGTATTGAATTTACACTCATTCAATATCCTCTATATAGTAACCGTAATCATGGAACTTACATGTTATCAAAAATACCTTCCAAAGTTTATTGTGTATAGATAATAAAGACAGATCGACAGTTTTAAGGTATGCATCAATGAAATATATATCAAAACCGTTTTTAAAATTAGAGATATAATTGGTTAGTAAGAACAAAAATAAAGTTCCTAACCATGCGGTTTTATACCTTATTAACTTTTAACCTGACACCTTTAAGCATAAAGCTAAATTTAATATTTGTTTTATATTTGGATTTTTCTTTTTTTTTCGGCAGGAAAAGTTTGTGAATGTAGAGGAACAAGACTGGTACAACTTGAGTCATTACTGTCACAACTCCTCTCTCGTGGTCAAACCAAAACGAGGCACGGCAATTATGTGGTACAGCCATTTTATCGACGAAGAGGTTAGTGTTGGTATTCTAATTCTCGCGATTTTTCCTGTGATTTATATATCAAGCAAATAATTGTTTACAAGTAGGAAACCGTTTCATCTAAGACATGGTAATAACAGTATTAGAAGGATAACGCTGTTTTCTCATTTTTTGTTTCAGACTGGTTTTCTAATAACGTTGTTTTATCGTTTTAGTCAGACTGGTTTTTTAACAACGTTGTTTTATCATTTTTTTTCAGACTGGTTACCTTGGCAAGGTTGATAGAATGTCACACCATGGTGGTTGTGATTTAAAAAAGGGAACCAAATGGATAGCAAATAACTGGATCTCTGGAACCACGTATGAGGACAGATTTAAACCAAGTGTATTTTACTGAGAGTTTTATTAATTGCAAAATAAGATGTTGTTTAATTTTCTAAATGAATGGTGCTAACATGGTAGATATTAAAAGAAGGACGAACGAGTTGTTAAAAACCTGAAGGTTGTGTGTCTTGATGAAACAATGGAATATAATTATGTAAAAGAGTAGTTGCCACCCGTTCATTTGCTTGACAATGATTTTTGTGGGTTATATTGTTACACTGTAATACATTTCCCGATGTTTGATATTTAAACTAAATATGGTTTAAAACGTCAAAGTAAGGTTTTGAACCTGCTGGCAGAGATTAAAAAATACATAATATATCTTATCACACACCCGTGCCGATTTTGCGATTCCGTAAATATGGTATTGCACGGCCGAGCATATATTTTGACGTGACGTCATTAGCGTTATACAAACATAGTGTAAAGACGCGCTAAATGATGGCATTATTCTATAGGCGCGACTCTTATTTCACTTTAAACGGTCTTTATTTTGGGTGTGTGATAAATAGAATATTAAATTCGTGTAAGTTCATTACTGAATTTATTGCACTCGTTGAATAAAATAATATTAAGCTCGCCAGAGGCTCGCATAATATAATTTTATTCAACTCGTGCAATAAATTCAGTATTGAACTTACACTCATTCAATATCCTCTATATATTGGATTTCGTCAAATTATTTTCATTTCTGTTAAAGATATGAGTAAAAACGTAGGAATATTTTCATTCGGTAGTTATCGTGCATTTCGGTATTTATTTGGAATATCTATTTCAAAATTCCATATTATTATCTTTGCACAAGTATGTGTGGGTAGGACATAGTCGAAGGCTAAATGGACTTGGAAATCTAGACAAGTGTTTCTAAATGATATTTATGTAACAGCGTTATTTTTAAATGTCAAGCCGTTATACTGTTTGATGTTAGATAACTTCTATAATATAATTATAGTGTATTATTGTTGGCAAACGAAACATCTGGTTTGCGCATGCGTGGATATTGTAAGCGCCTTTAAGGATAGGGTTATAAATGTAAATAACTTATTTTGGCCGAAAGTTTTATTTTCTTTAGTTTTGTTTATATATTGTTATTGCTATTTATTTATTGACATATTTTATCGGATAAAGATTCGTCGATTACACATTTGTTCTCGTTTTTCTATACATGTACGTTTTGTATACATGTATGTTTTATTGTCAACTGTAAGTGCCTACTACTTTACACAGCAAGATACCTGTATATGTTAATTGGCGATTGCTATATAAGCATGCAGTAGCATAATTATACACTGTATTATTATACTGAACAAAAAAGAGAAACAAATTCCCCTCCGTTTAAGTGCAGGAATACACAAATATGAAAATAAGGATTAAAGTATATTTATATGTATTTAAAGAATAGTTTATTGCGATTTGTGTGAAAAGTTTATTGCTGAGGGTTTTATCCAAAAGTATTGAAAATATAGATAAAATGCAGAAGTGGTCGCCCAACAAAATCACAAACTAATGTCTGGTATGACCACCTTCAGCATGAAGGACTGCTTGGCATAGTTGGTGCATACAACGGAGCAGCATATTGATTTTGGTTTGTGGAATGTTGATCCATTCCTGAATTTAGGCCGGTCTTAGCGTTTGACAGTGGAATAGGGCGGCGTCTAACACGCTGGTCCAAATTATCCCAAAGGTGATCAATGGGATTTAGATCAGGACCTTTTCGCCGGCAAGTCAATAATTAAGACAAACTTATTCTCCCTGAGGAAATTCACAGTGTCCCTAGCTGTATGATTTATGGCATTATCTTTGTGTAACTTTTATGAAAAAATATTTGTTCATTCAACGCTGTTTTATTTACGTGATTAGCATCTTACATTCTTTCAATAAACTTATTATTTGAACACAGTGTTGCCTTCTGTTCAGGGAAAATTGTATTTATTTCTGGGTTTTACGTAAAATATGCAATACAATAATATTTCTAACAAGTCTATAATACAAAAGCAAGATTTTACTACAATATAATTAAGACATAGTCTTGTTTCATTTTGTTTTCTATGTTTGATACACGTTAAGATGTAAGCGAAAATACAACACAAAATGGTTGCATGTTGAAAAAAACGAGTTTTCTCCCTAACAATTTCAGTTTCCGTTAATATAAGGGAAGTAAGTGATTGCATCGCAGCGGACACACTCCTCCGGAGTTGTCTTTCTTTACAATTAGGAACGACGACGCTTGTTGAAAATTGGCCGATTGGTAAAACTCGCTTACCTCCCCTTTTTATATTGCAGCTGAAATAGTAAAAGGGCTTAAAAATATCGGGTGAATGGAGATCTATAACAATTACTGATATTTCTATGACGCTGGTAGTGTTTTGATTTTGAACAATAGATCGAAACAATGGTTGTTATAAGAGTGAAATTTTTGTTGTTTACCATTTATTACTTTGTACATAATAGCTAGGTTAAATTCGCTATAGATAATTATAGCCGAGTTATGAGATATTTAACTTCATAGATATTCTCACTACTGGTAATTATAGGCTGAAAGTGCTTACAAAGTGGAAAAATTTATCCAAAATAGAAACGGTAAGTTTCACTATAATTCCTTGTTTTCTCTTAATAATTGTATGGTAATAATTTTGTTGTAGACGTAACATGTTGTGAGGATTGGTTTTGGTAATTAAATTTAGATATCGCACAGTTGACTGGGCTATATCTTGTACTCGGACAACAAGTTATTGTTGTTACGCTATATTTGATCATCTAATCGCATTTAAGTCAAAATTGCCGGATCGTATGCTTTACTTAAGGATTTAAAATTAATAAGGTAAAAAAATGCATTTCTTGCTTTTGCTTAATCTATAAGAGTTATTAGATTTCTTTGTAACGGGATGAACGGACAGAGACGATTTTTGTAACCAAAAACCTCTAACTAATGCGTTAGATAATGCTTAAAAAATTAGCGTGAAGTTTAGTGTAAGTGATAATTCCATCTGACTTTTGTATAGGCAACATATAAGGGCAAAACGACTTTAAGACCAGACCCCGTATTCATAGAGGATTCAATATATGGGCTACAGGCAGAACCCGCACACTTTCCATAACTGACGTAAGCTAACAAATTGTTAGGCAATCCCCGCTGGCTGCTTTTTGTTATTCTTATTTTTGTTATTAACTTTAATTTTGAAGATGTCTTGCAGTAGGTACGACCTTATTTTCATTCAATTCATAATGATTTTAGTATATTTGTCCGCACGTCCCTTTATTTTAAAACTGCTAATGGTCTAACAAGATCCAGAGACAAAACCATGCAGGTGGTTAATGGAGATGCTTTTTATCGGCCTAATGCTCCTTGTTTTTCGCCTTTACTTCCGGTTACTGGACTAGCTATGCGCGATCTCCTTTTCCCGGTATTTTCCGAACAGGTAACCTGTGTGCTTTAAACTGCATTGATAGAACACTCTGAAATATCAATTTAAATTCATTTAAAAATGTTCGTTTTTATCATAAGAAAGGTAAAATGATAGTCATTTAAAATAATTCAACGGTAATAAATGTTTGTTTTATGTAATTTTGACACACGGACTCTCATATTATATCTACGTAGTGAAATGACAATCACTTCGGAATGCAATGTCTATATCAAACTATAAACTGCCATTTTTTTCATGATTACTTTACATTATAAACGTCTTATCAAATTTCACAAGAATCAAACTTGAAACATTCTTTTTCTAAAGATATATTTCGGTTAAAAGTTAAGTAAATTTCACAAGGATCAAGTGTTAATTTTCAAAAAGGGTATTTTAACCTTAAAACACTTTAAGTGCAAGTAACTGAAACAGTTTTTGGAGAAAGGGCTTCGTTTTCCATATTCCTTGATCTTATACTTTGGTTCTAGATAGTCAAATATTTGCATTAGACGGCGTTAAAATTATGATGAATTGTAGTTAAAGAGCTCTTCACAAGGTAGTGCAAAAACATTTACATGTTTTATCTATATAATAAAACATGTTCCTAAATGAAAAGGATATAACATTCGGTGTATTAATCAAATCTATATACACATTGATCGAGTTTTCATTTTAGTGGATTAAATACTTTTATTATCTTGCCAAACATTCAATCGTTGGTCAGGTCAACATAGGAAATGTTATATAAAAGTTTGACACACTGTTGTGGTCTCAGTTAATCTACGGTAAGACTTTTATTCTCATGTACACTTTGCTATAAAAACAAGAATTATTTATTGATAAGAAATAAATTGAAACTGCACTGCATATTGTAAATACGAGCGTATACGATTATACCTAGAGATGGGATTTACTGATTAAAAATATACATCGGACATCAAGCAGGTCGTTAAGTGCATGGGGGTGGGGTAGGGAATAGGGAGGGTGTTAAATTGATAAAAAATAATTTGAATCTGCGCTGCATTGTAAATATAAGATTGCACTTAGAGATGGAATTTACTGGTTAAAAATATACATCGGACATCAAGTACGTCGATGAGTGGGTGGGGGAATCGGGAATAAGGAGGGTGTTGATATTCTCGTACGACGAGAATTACCTTTATTTAATTTCAATGAACCCTTGGTGACGTCTTACTTCATTTCGGAAAAGCGTCTGAATGACCCTTTTTTAACATTTCTAGACAATCATATGTCTGCATGACTGATAAATGACTTCTTTTAGATATGGCGTTATTATTTTACAGTTATAATCAATAAGCGCCTGATTTTTTCACATTTATCTCTTTAAGCGACTGGATGATTTTTTACTTTTATTTATTTCATTAAGCGACGTTATATCATGCTTTTATTTCGATAAGAGCTTGAATATGGTGGCTGATTATGAACGCCTTTGTGCGTCGTGTTGTCGCTAGCGAAAGCACGACAAAGCGCCAAACGGCGCGTTGTCGGACTTCCGTTTTGTCGTCCTGTCGCTTACGATGCACGCCAAACGGCGCGTTGTCGTGCGGCGTGTTATCGCGATGTCACATTGTCGCTCTTCTCAAATCGAAAGATTGGGTGATAAGCCAGGCGATATCGCGACAACGCGCCGCACGACAACGCGCCGATTGGCGTGCTTCGCTAGAGACAGCACGACAAGACGACAGTGCGACAACGATATGGCACAAATAAGCCACCATAGTTTAGTTTCTGGTTACACGTTCTTTATCAAAAAATGACCGTTTTTCTTACTCGTTACATTTATTTTGACATCTAAATGTTTAAGTACTTTTTTTTTGAGCGGCTAATCGACTTAACCCTTGCTTCGATAACCGTGTATGCTTTTATATCGTGACCTTTCGATCTTTTTTTAATTAGTGTTGTGGTGACCTTTAAAATATATGAAGTAAAATTGTTAAAAAAATCTTTAAGCTTATCATTTTTGCGTTATATTTAGCGTTTATATTCACATCAATAAACATGTTAGAATTATGTATTCCTTTTCAATGTTGACAAAGTTTGCAGGAATTTGTATAAAAAGTATTCTCAGATATATCTTCTTTTCTTTTTTTTTAAACTGGTATCGTCAGAAGCCTTTACTTAATTTAGATGTCTCGACAATAGCAATCCGATCAGCTCGCTTACAATTACATGTATCTGAATACCTAAGAGATACAAAAAATATTGAAAGAAACTCCATTATATTTTCTTAAAAATATGCCGCAAGACTTTCAGGAATATTAACACGGCGCCCTTTGATATATTTTTCTTACAATTTTTACTTTCTTACCTTTCATATGCTATTTACAAGAGTTCAATGGACCTGAATTGATTTTGTTTCTTTTCCGCCCCTTATTTGTATCAGTTACATAATGAGTTCAAAATAACTCAATAAAACGATCAAGAAATTCGACACCAGTTTTATCGAAATTCTTAAACGGCTATTCACTTAAGCCAACAAAATAGGTTTTTTAATCATCGATCCGACCGATTGCAAATTAGTAATTTACGCCACCATTCTCATAAGTGTCTATGTTTTTTATTTTTTATTTCAACAATCTTTTGTGAAGATTTATATCAAGTAGATAAACGATGTCTTTTAATTTCATACCTGTAATGGGGGCATTTAAATCAATTTAGATTCTATTTGAACAAAATAATAACCTTTACTATTGCAGCTTTAGATAACGTTTCAATAATGTATTTAAACCAGTATAATGATCTATCAAACTGTGTTTTCTATGTCTACACTTTTTACGTTCTTTTTTTCTTAAGATATATTTTTCTTGAAAGCTTAAGATGTAGACTAAATGATTCACAAAACGCTCTCTAAAACCGCTTCGTCACTTAAAATGCCTCTAAATCCCGAACGTCATAGCCAAATGCAATATTTCATCTTCTAAAAATAGGTAGAAACTTATAAGAAGAAGAAAAGAACAAAAAAAATAAACAAACAATAAATAGAAAAACAACGACAACAACAAAACAACAAAAACAACACCAAACCGGATTTAACCTAAACAGTATACAGGAGGTGTTGAAACAACTGTCTTTTTGTTTGCTCCTCTTTTTATCCAAATCAATGTGACGTTAAAATACGAAAACAAATAGTTAAATAAAGTCTGTTAAAGACAGTTTGTGGAGAAATAAGTGTCAGAAATGTTCAGATTTAGTTGTTCTCCTTTGGTGAAAAAGAAGTTTGTAAGACTTATCAGCTGCTTACTTCTGATTTCTACATATTCGTTCAAATGATTTCTTAATAAAGTTGATCAGACAGATTGATAAATAAACGTTTTGCAACGTTGTTATGAAAAAAGAGAGAACCTGCTGCATGTTATATCTACATATGTTACTCAATGTTAATCTTAACAGATTTGCAATGAATTCGAAGGCTCATATAAAACATTATATGTTGTATATTACATATAAAGAATGGACCATCTACCAATACATAGTACCATGATCGACTTGCAAATATCAGTCGTACTTTTCGTCAAAATACGTGTTCAATCAAATCTCGGATTTTGTCCTGATATTTCGTTGCCATTAGCCTTAAATTACATAGCATCAAATGAATGACGAAAAACTTACCGTAATTTTACGAAAATTGGTAATAGTCTTATGACCTTGCCTACAAAGAACCACGAAAATTGTATCGATGTCGTTAAATGTATTACAGGAGGGATAAATTTATGATACCGAAACGTTTTACACTCAAGCATGTCGTTGAGCATGAATTCCATTTTTGCAACAATGTTGCTTTAATAATGATCGTGTGCCTTTAAAGATCACATTTTAGACATGTAAGTGCCACCTAGGGGTCAAAAATATACACAAAGGGGATAATTTCAATGAATATGATACTGCTCACGTGTGACAACACTAATCCTCGACAAATCAACCACTGAATAAACAAGGTCTTTCTGTTTAATATTCCAGCAGAAACGTCGTTATTCCAGAGGCGTAATAGCATGTATTAATCCGCGGTTTAAATATTTATTTAGGGTTATCGCGACGTTGAGATAAGTTCTTTGCAGACTGCCTTCCGTTAGTGTAAAAGAAATGGTTAGATTTGAAAACGGAGAAAAGAATGCGAATTTTTCTTCCCCCACTGTAGTCATGAATAACCGTCAG